AATCCTACTTCCGTAGTGATACTGCCTCGGAAACCCAAGGAGGGGTCGCTATGAGTCGGGGCTGACTCGACGGCACATAACAACAACAACAACAAGGGAGCACAAGGATGGCCTGCCCTCAGGATGCTTATATTCTAAAAGGGTTAGAAACAGAGACACACAAAGATGATCTACTTTGACTGTGGCAGGTTTAACACACATGATCTTCACTGTCCTCAAGCACACACTAAGTAGCTGGTGGCCATGCTGCAGTCTGGTATGCATGGCTCACTGTAGGCCTGGGGAGCAGGGAGGAGTCCCATGACCCAGATGGGACTTAGTCTCAAACACTGCCCCCTTGCCTGCCACCTCCCCCTGAAACACACACAACAGTAGGGACCTAGTGTAACAGAACTGTGGGACCCGGCAGACAAGGGGCTATTCAAGACGTAGAAGAGGGCCATCTTCTCAGGCCTTCACCGTCTCATTCCTTCTTTTCCAATTATTGCATTCTCCAGAAGCAATAGCTCATTTTCTGCACACTACACTCAACAAGACCTGCTTTCTGCCTGTCTGTAGGGCATCACTGCCGTGTAGGAGCACTAGAGGGCGCCGCTGCCCCTTGTAGTGTGAACATCGGCAATCTCCAAATGCTGCCCAAAGACAAAGGCACCCCAAATCTCCCACCTACAGAAAGGCTCCCTGTGCCACAGTGGGGGATTCTGTAGCTACAATCACTCCAGTTCTAGTGTCTAACTTACAGCTCTCTGTTGTGAGCCAACTCACCTCTCAACCTCCCTCAAAACCCCTCAGCAAGCCCTTTGAGTGAACCCTAGCAGTCTTTCCTTCAGGCCAGTCTTCCCCTCCCTTCAAGGCACACAGGGTGAGGGTGATGCTGAGGGGGCTCCATGTCCAGCTTTCCATCTCTTCAGGCCAGGCTGCTTTACCCAAAGAATGACCCCTCCCAGCTCTGCCTGGCCATGCAGCCCCAGAGCCTACACTACAGTTTCTGCCTACAAGTGGGCACCAGGAGGGCAGGACTGCCTGGGTGCCCTCCAACCTCCTGAGGACAATGCTCAGAATTCAAGCATGATCAGGACAGAAACTTCAGCTTCTCTATGTCCATTAATCACCCAAATTCTCTCAACTCTAAGAAGATATTAGGAGACACAGAGAAACAGGAGAAGGAAAACAAAGACTCTAAGTATCCCAAGAACAAGGATAATTCCAACATCACTCAAGGTCACATATACAAGGATCTAAGCCCAAAATCCAGGTTCTTGCCTACATGACCCCACAAAAAGATGTATCCCAGCACGTACCTGCCCAGAAAAGGCTCAGACACTCCCCACAGACAACAACCCTGCGTCCAGAGTCTGTGGTCATTCTGACCCAGGCTCCCCAACTCCTCCCAGCAACTGCCCTTTCCAAGTCTCCTACCACCTCCCCCACCCACCCTCTCAGATATCTCTTAGAGTTGTCCCAGGGCCACCAGGCTCAGCCTGAGTACTCAGAAAGACCAGTCTCCCTCCTAGTCCTCCCCACACTGCAGATACCCAGCACTCCCCCTGGGCTTTGGTGAGTCAGGGTTGGGTAACAGGGAAAGAAGCTACTGTACTAGGCAGAGGAACAAAGGGAGGCATCACCTAGAAACTGACCCACCCCTATAATACCCCTCATCTATGAGGCTGTGTGATGAGGCTGCCAGCCAGCCAGGGAGGGCTCAGCCCTTGACAGACCCTTCATTTCTTTCTCCACTCCTTTTAGTGAACTCAGAATTTCAGAGAAAGAGAAAAGCCAGGACTTCAGCATTTCTTTTCCCTCTGCCAGGGACTAGGTTTAGGGCTCTTCTCTGCCCCCTTTCTCTCACCACTGTGCCCAGCCCAGACTCCCCACCCTAACTCCTGCTTATACACACATGGAGGGGAGAGGCACAAGCTTGCTAAGAAGGCCCTACCCTCACCACATTGGCTGGTGTTGCCATAGACACCTGGGTTGGTCCCAGGTCCTTAGAAGGGAGGCAAATGCTATTATGGCCTACTCTAGGCTCCTCCCTGAGCCCTGCAGATAACACAGCAGCCTGTCTAGGCTGAGTTAAAAGGAGGCAAAGGGGCCAGGGGAGGGGTCAGGAGAGCTGCCAGGGCCTTAGCAGAGGGACTCCTGGGAGTCCCTCCTGGGTGGGACTCAGCACATTCAAGACAGACCAGCCATCATCAGCACTTCTAGCAGTGCTGAAGGCCAAGAGACACAGAAAGGGCCAGAGTCCCAGGGGTCTCCAAGGACAGCAGGCAGGTTATAGACTTTAGGGGAGGTGCTTAAAGCCTCTTGCCAAGCTAGGGAAGCCACTGGGGGTGAATGTCCAGGGTGAAGGAGGAAGGGCATTGCCTTAGTTATCTAGTGTTGCTATAACAGAAACAGCACAAAGAGGTGGCTTTAACAAACAGAAACTATTTCCTCACAGTTTAGGGGTCTGGAAGTCCAGATTCAGGATGCTGAGTGTAGGAGAAAGCTTTCTCTCTCTGTCAGCTCTGGAGAAAAGTTCTTATCTCTTTGAGTTTCTGCTCCTGAGCAACCTTCATGTGGCTTGGTATCTCTTTTCACCCCCAACTCTGCTTGCTAGTTTGAGTTTAATCTTTCATACTTCAAAAGAAATTGACTCAAGATACACCCTACAGTAAATACTGCCTCATTAACCAACAAAGAAAGCCCATTTCCAAATGGGATTACAGCCAAAGGTATAGGGATTAGGATTTACAATACACATTTTTTGGGGGTATAATTCAATCCATAACAGGCATCAATCACTTGATTCTCATCTCTCACAGGGAAAAGACTATAAGCCAGCTGGACCAGCTGGGGGTAAGGCAAGAGTAATCTACTTTCAGAGAGGTTGGAAGAAACCTGAGGGTACAGTCGCCAAACCCCTCCTTTCTATCTGCCAAGTTTTCCTTACCTTGAAGCCAGAGGGCAGGAAGTGGAGACCAGGAAACAAAGAATCCATACAAATGGCCTCTCTCTGCTTTCCCTGTGCCTCCCTGCCTCTTAGGGGGTAGATGTGCGAACTCATGCAACAAGGCAGGTTGCCCCCCAATCCATGACCCTCAGAGTACTATGACTTCGCAACCACTTGCAACTTACCAGTGTCCATGTGCAGAGAACAAGCCTGGGCTTAAGAGGACAAGGTTCCCCATTAACCATGCAAAGCCAGAGCCACAGCAGCTTGCCCAAGGGCCATATCTGTTCTGCCCTCCCTGACCCAAGGTTCAGGCCAATGGCTGCAAACACCCTGGCATCCTCCCCAAACAGGAAGCTGGTCTTGCCAAAGATGTACCTGGGTTTCTGAGTCGGCTCCTTGGCCTCTCTCAAGCCAAACCAGCTACTCTTGGCTTTTTCTTCCCCACTGGATGAGTGGTGTGGAGAGGCCCCCAGGGTGGGACCGCCTTTCTCTCCAAGCGAGCTACGTCGCCCCAACTCGCTCCGGCTTAGGCCTGGATGGTGATGATGGAAGAGGCCCATCCGGGGCTTCCGCTCCTCCTTCCGCGCTCCCTCCTTCTCTGCCAAAGCCTCAGAGGAGGCCACAATGGGTGTGGCAACCTGGACTGGTTTCCCCTCTGGAAGCCGGGCCCCCTCTTCCTCGCCAGAGTGGCTGGTCCCAACGGCCAGCACTTTGGGCTGTGTGCTTAGCTCCTCCTGTCCAGGCACTGCCTCTGAGCTGCTGGCACTGCGGCTGCCTCTGCCCCAGGAGTCATCTACAGACCGAGGCCCCTCTTCAGAAGGCCGGGAAGAGACACTATGCAGGGAGCTAGAGGGGGGAACGGGGCCCGAGATGGAGCTGCGGTGCCGCAGGGGTTCTGAGGGCTCCTCGTTGTAAATGTGGCTCCCATTGACACAGACAGACGACCGGGAGGCACCATCAAGGTGGCCCTGAAGGTCAAGGAGGGCTCGGGGAGGAGCTGCTCGTATCTGGCTGGCCTCGTCACTGTAGGTCCTTTTGTGGGTGAACAACTTAGGAGACTGTGTAGAGTCTCTGCCTGGAAAGGAAAAAGATGGAGTTAGCACAGAAGAATGGGAGCCTCGTTTCACTGCCAGCCCTCTCTGCCCTCCCTGGGAGCAGGGGGCCCAGCCCCTTGCTCACCCCCTTCTGTAGACAGCCAGCTGCTACGGCTGGGCGAACGGGTGAGAAGCTCAGCTCCAGGCCCCTGGTAGACCAGGCTCCCACTAGCTGAAGACAGGGTGCTATCCGAGCCCAGTGAGGTGTTAGACTGGGTCAAGGATGACTTGCGCAACTTGTTACGGAGGAAGAAGCCTTTGGCTTTGCCCATCTTGCCCAGGCTGCCCAGCTCAGGATCCTCTAGGGCACTGCTTGGGAGGATGGCAGAGGCAGATTCCAGATCAAACTTCTTCTTGCCCTTCATCTTCTCCTTGATCTTGCTGAAGGGGGACCGTGGCTTGTCCTTCATGGACAGGTCAAACATGCTGGCACTCAGGTTGTTGCGAGTGAACTGGATGGTAACCTGGATCTCCCCGCGTTCTTTCTCCTTCTTGCCTGCCTTGGAGTGCAGCCTGTACCACCTGTGAGAACAAGGGGGGCAGGTAGAGCTCTGGTCACAGGCTCAGGGTCACAGAATTCCTCTTTGCTTTGGGGGCCACCAACAGTCTCCCCCCACCGGCTCGTGCTCTGACGCATAGGCCTGGACTCCAGGCCACAGGCACAGGTGAGAAACTATCACACTTTTCCAGGATGGAGAAGCCACATCCTCAGTAGAAGAATCTCTTGGGTGCCACTCACATACACACCCAGCAGGGAAGGCAGGGGTCAGCAACCTTCCCGTGGAGCTCAGAGACTTCTTCCTCTGCCCCTCTCTCTGCCCCACCCCCACTTACACACACATGCTGCAACTCTGAGGCCCATGGGGGCAAGGCAGGGCCTGGGAGAGACCCTCCACATCTCCATGACTGGTGCAGACAGACCTACCCGCATTTTTCCCTATTTATGTCATCTCCTTTGGTCAGTCCTAGCCAAGGCTCTGTTCAGAGCCACCAGTGAGCTCAGAAAACAACAGCTCACCCAGAGGCCCAGGGCCAGGAACACTAGTACAGAAACATGCACATACCCCTCACCCACGCACTGACTCACCCTAAGCCCTGCCAGAACAGAGGAGCCTACAAGAATGGCCTAAAGAGACCTTAAACAGACTGGATAAAGAGCATTCATATTTGTTGAGCATTTACTTTGTGCTATACTACCAGTACTAGTATTCTCATCTCAATTCCATTTGTATTTTACAACAAGCCTGAGGCAAAAAGACTATCCCTATTTTACAAACCAGAAAGTTGAGGCTCACAAATAATTAATCAACAACAAGCTATCAGTAAAAGGGAGAGGGAATTCAGAGTCAGGTTTTCACTACTCCACAGCCCATGTTCTTCCCACTACACTCTTCCCAAAGGGACACAAGGAAAGAGCCTCTAACACAGTGTAATGGAACTGGCCCCAGCAGAAGGTAGACACAGTCTACCCTTCAGAGAAGAGGGCTTTCCACATGTGTTTGGGGAAAGGAGGAGAGTCAGGAGTGCTTCCTTCTACTGCTTCCCAAACACCCTCCCCAAGTCCACTCAGACTCCTAGAAGGCCTGACAAGGGCTGGCCAATCTTATTTTGACTTGACAGCCACATTATACTGTATCTTTATGTGGGGGCAGTCAACACTCACATAGTTCCTTCCTCCCATTCAGCTCAGTCACGCCATATCCCTCTGCATCTCCTACAGATATGAAAGAGGTTCCCCAGAGAAAGTGAACCAAAAAGCTCTGCATTTAGGGATACTGAACCTCAACAATGAGGTCAAGTTCAGGGCTAAAAACAGACAAGTCACTGAAAGTCACATCCTTTCCACACCAGCACCCAAACACATAGTCTCCCTGGCAAATAAGAGCTGAAATATAACATTTGAAGGAAGTATTAGAAAAAAAGTAGAGGAAATTTTCAAGAAAGCAGAAGATGAGGGGATGAGAGGTCCATCCAAGAGGCTCACCAACCAAATAATTGGAGAATCAAAAAAAAAAAAAGAGAGAGGAACATAGAAAGAAAGAAACTATGAAAGAAATGAGAACGTTTTCCTAAACTGAAGGACATGAGCACCAGTGCGAAAGGAACCGCAAGTACACAGCATAATGAATAAAGACCCATGCTGACAAAGCACTGTGAGGTTTCACAGGACCAGGGATAAAGAAGAGACCCTAAATGCTTTCAAATGGGGAAAACCATTTCATACTCTCAGGAATAAGAATAGTATTGAAGTCTCATCACTGGGCACCATATGGAGAGAAAAACTTTCCAACCTAGAACTCTCTCACTCACTACCATCGAGTCGCTTCCAACTCATAGCAACCCCTCTTTGGGTTTCCAAGGCAATATCTCTACAGAAGTAGGTTGCCCAGTCTTTCTTCCAAGGAATGGCTGGTGTGTTTGAACTGCCAGCCTTCTGATTAGCAATCAAATGCCTTAGGGACCATGCCACCAGAGCTCCCACCTAGAATTCTAGACCTAGTCCATCAAGGATAAAAGTAGAATAAAGCCATTTTCAGACGTGCACACACTCTAAAAACTATCTTTCATGTATCCTTTTTCAGAGGTTACTAGAAGCTATGCTCTATCAAAAAGAGAGACTGTAACCAAGACTGAGAAAAACTGGCCACAGGAAGCTAGACACAAAGCAATTTCCCAGTCAACAGTTCTGCAATGCTAAAAGGAGGAGGATGATAAGGACCCCAGGAGAGAAGTTTTCAGAAATAAATAAAATGGATAAATTATTGATATATTTTGACCATGAGGAAAACAGTGTTGAAAGTCTACTGGGGACTACAGAAAGAACTAGAGATGAGTACAAAGAAAATTGAGCAGATGTAAAAACATGGCAACTATTAACTCCAGGAAAAATGAACAAAAAAACTGTACAGGAAAGAAAACAATTCTAGTATACTATTAGGCTTAGCAATGACTAACAGTATATATATAGGATGAAAACCCACTTAGCCTGCAATTATAATATTACGTTATTGGGAAGACAGAAGAAGGAGGAGCAAAAGGACTTTGTAAGAGATAAATCTTCATCTTCCATTAAGTCAAGAGATAAATTCTAAATGTGATGTATTAAGAAATAACGGCTTACTCCTACAACTCAGGGAGCTCTGGTAGCATAGTGCCTAAGGCATTTGACTGCTAACCAGAAGGCTGGTGGTTCAAACCCACCAGCCACTCCTTGGAAGGAAAACTGGGCAATCTACTTCCGTAGTGATACTGCCTTGGAAACCGAAGGAGGGGTCGCTATGAGTTGGGTCCAACTCGACAGCACATAACAACAACAACAACAACCTGCAACTCAACAACAAAAAGACAAACCACCCAATTTAAAAATGATAGAAGAAAGATTAA